CCCCCCCCGCCCGAGCCCGTGTAGAACACTCTTCCCAAATCTCCCGCCCCAGGGAATTTAGCGGCACAGAGTCCCCAGCACTGAACTCTGTGCCCCTGGCACCTCTCCCTTTACCAACACCACCTCCATTTTTCTGCTAGGACATTCATCCCGTGTGTTCTATTCCCAGCAAACTCAGTCTCCTGCAGTCGGTGTTTAATGAACACAGGAGGGAATCCCGGAGTCAACTGAACCATGTACATTTAGCCAAGAGCTCTAAGTTAATGACCAAGAGCGTAGGCCTCAAATCCTTATTCCCGACTCGGCATCTGGTGATCAGCATTTGGCACTAGCTGGGTAAATACGGGTCTAATCAGAATTTTTGAGCTGAGGCAGACGTAGTTAATCGGTAACTCAGTGTTTGCAGCCTAGATCTGGTTTCAAACTCAAAAGGCAGGCAGAGGTAGCCACATCTACACATGGCAGAACTGGGAAACACTAACAACAGGACACAAGACCAGGAGAAGGGGCCTGACAAAAATTCTGATGAAAAGAAAAAAAAAGAAAGAAAGAACTCAACAGATCACGTCCATCCGATCCTTTTAGCCAAAATGGGCGTTTTCCCACCCTTAAGCTAGTCTAAGTACAGGCAGATGTCTTTCTACTATACTAGGATTTTTCTAGGTCTGTTTTTCCTAATCCTCAGAGCTTAATGAGAAATCATTAATTCTATAAAGCAGTACAGCACATGAGTACAGTCTAAAATATACCTACAGTAACCGGAAAGTTGTGTCACTGAGCGACAGAAGCCCCTCGCGCTGTCACCCCCCTGCCCTACACGGCCGGCGGCGCAGGGGGCGCCCCGCCCAGGCTGAGCAACTACCACTGCACAGAGAGAAAAGCAGTAACAGCGGAGTCTCCACAGAACTCTGTTTATTTAACTGCGTCGGGGCATCCGGTCAACGCTCCACATGAAAAACGGTGCGATAGAAGCGACTTTGAATACGAACAGACGAAAAGCCGCCGTGCTGCCAGGAGGGGGGAAAGCCGTCTGCGCGAGGGAGGCACGGACCGGGGACAGGACGACAGGGAGGCACGGGAGGCGGGTCTCAGACAGACAGCGACACAAAACTGTTGTACTGCTGGATGTTTCGCTTGAGGATATCTGAGCACGGGCCGAGGACGCGCTCAAATCTGGGTCGGTCCAGCTTCACGCACTTCAAAGGGCCGCGAGCGACCACCGTGGCGGCGCGAGGACGGTTCATCAGGAGCGCGATCTCACCTGCGAAGGGGGGACACGGGTCAAGGGAGGCGGGCGTCCCGGGAGCACCCCCGCGGGGGCGCTTCCGCGACACGAGGAGGCGGCGTCTACCGCTCTTCAAGCCCAGCACGGGCCCTACGACATCCGCACTTAAACACGACCGACAGGAGACCGTCGGCGACCGGACTACTGATGGGTAAAGGTCACAATCTCCCTCTCTCGGAGAGCCAAAAAGACTACAGTGAAAAAGTAAAATTCGGGAGAAAGAACGAAGAGAGACCTCTCAGCGTTATCTCCCTGAGAGGGGACTCGAACTACGTACTTGAAGGACAGCCACGTACCGAAATAGTCAGAAGGCCCCAATCTTCCCACTTCGACAAACTCTTCGTTTTCTGACCGACGTTGTAGCACAGCAGCTGAGCCCTGTAATAAAACCACCAAATGGCAAAACAGATACTTTCAAATCCAGGGTGGCCCTCTGCAGATGCAAGTGGGGCTACTCTGTCCTAGAAAAATAAAAAAAAAAGATGCGGCGGCAATTTCAAATCCTCCCGTTCGCGTAAAAGATGACTCAAGAGAGTCACGACGTGAGCTCCAGTCCCCTTCTGCCCCACGGCCCTGCCGGAGCCCCTTCTCACACCCAGGAGCCAAAGGGCTGAGACTCGGGTTGGCAAACCGCAGCCGGGGGGGCCCAACCCGAACTCGCCGCCTGTTTTTATAAACGAAACGTTACAGGAACACACCAACGCATTTACACGCCGTCTCTGGCCGCTTCTGCGCTGCACTCTTGCGCTGAGTCGAAGTGCGAGCGCGGAGTCTTGGCGACAGAAACCCCACGGCTCACAAAGCCTCAGTCACTTACCAACTGGCCTTCCAAAGAAACAGTCGCTCGACTCCTGACTTTTAGCAATTAGCATCTACTGAGCCACATTCCTACAAAATCTGCTCTTTAGGCTCTGGTTGGCGGGCAGGAGTATCTGCTATGCATTTCCATGAATTGTGAAGATAGAAAACATAGTAGCTTTCAGCCTTTACACGCTTGCCTTTAACCCTTATTTGCCAAATGGTCCAGACATATGATTTTAACAAGGACGGTACAGACCCGTAATAGTTTGTTATGCTAAATGGGTAAGTTTCACTTGGCTTGCGTGATAAAAGATCGAGGAGCTCAGAATCTGGCCATTACTTCCTGAACAGCCCTTCCAGAACGGACTCCAACTCATTTAAAATACGGTGGCCTGGCACAACACCATTTCTAAGTGAAAGATAATTTTTAAATAAAATCTATCAGGTATTACTAAAAAGTGAAGCTGGCAATCAGAATGAGCCCCTTTTCTCTCTTATGGTGTACTGCTTCCTCCCCCCAATATCAAACACAGGCTCCGTTACCTCTAAAATAATGAAGAACTCGTCCCCTGGTTCGCCTTGCACCACAATCTTCTGCCCATCCTCAAACTGAACAGGTTCCAACGCATCAGCGACTGTGAGACGTTCCCACTTGTCCAGAGATTCTGAAAGGCGAGAATCGAAAGAACTTCTCTACGCTAGTTGTCACTGCTAAAAATGTCAAAACTATCAAAACGATGCGTCACACAGCCGTGCCCATTTAATATCCTAGTAGTGTTGCAGGTTCAACATGGTGCCTCTCTTCAATCACCTCAAGTCTCAGCAAGATCCTCCTCCTACTTACAGATAACTCTTAGATCCTTACTTCAGTGGTCCAGTGGCCAGGTTAACTTATCAACTGCACCCAACGGTAAAGGAATAAAAAATGTAATCATTAAGTCTTCCTAAAGAACACCATCAATGCAAATCAAGACCCAAACGTCACAGAGAGTGTCGCCATCCATACTATCCCAGAGGTTCACAGAAATAACTTACCTATTTAAACCCGAAGTTGAATTTATGAAACCCACGAGGAGAACCAGACAACAGTTCCCCAAAACCAAACGGAAACCCAAGTCATTAAGTAAATGTAACCCACTCAGAGAAAGGACAAACGAGGGGGGAGAAGTCAACTCGCTCTAACAAAACGGCAGAAGACTATTCCCTAAGAATCACCACCACCCCCCCCCCCCCCCCCCCCCCCAGAGCAGGTTGTAACAACATCTGTGAGGCCGTGAAACAAAATACAACGGTGTCCAGTTAACCCGCTTTACTCAATTTCAACAAACTTCCAGCACTTCTTCAGAGGAAATCAGAAAATGACACCTAATTTTTCTACAGAGAAAAGGCATTCGTGGAAACGCTCGACTCTCCTGAACCAGTCAACTCACCGACGGAGCAACAGAGACAGAAATCAGAGGGGGAATGACCGCCAATGTCCATGAGCAAAGAAGGACACTTTTAGCCTTTCTGCCTCTCCCAGAGAAATGAGTAGCACATAATTCCAGGAAGTTTTCCCCACGTCCACCACTAGTAAAGAGGTGTGTCATAGACTAGTAGATTAAGTACACTGTAAAATTACTTCTAACTTGGTCAAACTTCAACTTTGTGTTTTTCATTACTGTTAGCAAAAAAAAAAAAAAAAAAAAAAAAAAAAAAGTGAGTTGATAACCAGGGCAGTTTTTATGACATAAGCATGTATCACTAACACTTCAATTTAACAATTCTCTGTGCAATCTTCCAAAACTCACCTAAAATAGATACTTTACTAAGAAACTCCTCATACATCTTCCGCTTTCTCAGCGTGCTTCCCTATAAATGGAAAAAAAAAAGTGATCTTAAAAATGTGTAATTATCACATAATGCTGTGGAATAAATATTAAATGTTAAGTAAACATTAAAAAAGAAAAAAAGTCAAAGCTTGCTGATGCTTCTTGATGCTTCGTGTTGAAGACGGCAAAGCCACTGGTTCAGCTTAATAAAGAGCTGAGTAACTCGCTCTTAAAAGTCAGACCAGGCATATGGCCAAAGAAGGTGCCTAGGACAACCAATTAACGAAATGCCAAACGCACCATCAATTCTCCAAAAGAGCTACCAGGTTACACGAGTGACTAGAGCGGATCGTATCTCCAGCCCAGGGTTCTTCCCCACGACCCCAATCTTCCACAGAACTAAGGAAAGAAAACGGCTACCACTTGTAGACCTTCTACGGAAAACAGTCCCCTAGCCCCTGACTTAACCAAGCTGTCTTATCTGTGACGTTTGGTAAACGCCAAGTATCTGGAGGAAGGAGACGGGGGAGCACGGTCCTCTGGAACGTCCTGACAGGCGCGTATACGTCTACCTACACACACACATCCCCCAAATACAGCAAATGTTCGAAGTATGTCCAACTGCAGACTGTCAAATAGCCAGACAGGCACGGCACAAATTTAAGAAAACCATTCAAGAGGACGAATGCCAGCAGCTGGCACTTAACATCTGAATCTACTCTATAAACCTGTCACAAGGTTCTACATGAGCAGAACGTTCCAATGGTTTTATCATTTTGTTTCTTCCTCCAGTCTTACGAGGGGACGTCTGCACTACCAACAACCCCCCTGCCGTTTAGGGAAGCGGGTCACTTGCGAACAGCCATAAGGCACTTCGTGCTCTCAGAAGCAGCACCTGGCAAGCTACCTGACGTGCAAATGGGGACGTTCCCAAACGTGGGCTGACCACTACAGACGCACCACGTGTGTCTCCCGTGTTATTTGCAGCCATTTGTTCTAAAAGACCGGGCGATACGACTCAAACGCCCGTGACACACACTGAATTCTACGTCGCACTCCAAGAGGCGTGCCAGCTCACCATGAGGATTCTTCTGTAGCTGTCCCGGTCGATACCCCACAGTTTCACATTCGTCTTTGCTTTGACAGTGGCGGCTCTAGGCGTTCCATAGATCAAAGCGAGTTCCCCAAAGCTGCCTCCTTCCCCAACGCTGGTTGCCCATTCGTTGTTGACATAGACCTAAAAGGCAAATGACAAAGGACCGGTTGTTTCCTACACACACAAACACATTGGGATTAAACACCTTCCAAGGAGCCAGAATACTGAACTTGGTTTCTAAACTGGAATACATGATGTTTGTAGTACACAGCAGCACAAACCCGAGTGTCTGTGATTCACGGGCTTAATTACCCGACATGAGAACGTTCCCCACGGGGAGGATCAGGGCAGAGGTAAACGAAGCGTTAACCGCGTGTACATTTCGAGAGTGCCGTGCCTCCTGCAGACGGCACTGAACTAATGATCCTGCGACAGCAGTGTGTTATTATGCCCATTTCCCTTGTAAACAAGGTTCACAGGATCAAGAGAGCTGTACCAAGTCTCAGCGCCAACTCCCAGGTGTCATGGACAGTCTCCCTCACATCTACCTTACCACACAGTACGCACACGCGCCTTAACCGGGGACTCCAGCAAGAGATTTAAACTGAATGTCTAGTGAACGAAATTGCCTTTCGATAGGTTAAAAAGTTTCTCTGTGTCATTTAAAATACCTGGCAAAAGATGTTGCTGGAATTTGACATATGAGGCTTTTAACAGCCCTTCAGAAACTCTTACAAGTAATCGGTATCGACACATTCACCTTTACGACTATCAACATATTTCTATTATTAAATCTTACATCCATCTCTCCTTGATCAATCACATAGAAGTTATCCCCTTCATCACCTAAAACAGAGTACAAAAAGTTAGGTGTATAATGCAAATTGAGGAAACATACATCAGAACTATCAAATTAATGTAAAAATAAATTTATTTTACAGAGGTGCCGTCAAAGAAAGCGTGTTATAAATTAACACAACCTTTCAGGAAGAAAAGTCCAACGATATATTTTTAAAGCCATAAAATTGATCAATTTTTTAGTCATCTCATGGTAAAGAACAGCTGTGAAAAATAACTTAAAAAGAAAAAAAAGCTGTTATGTGTACAAAGACAGTACCCGTTACATGATCATGACAACAAAACAAACAGAGTAAGTAACAAAATATCAGACTATCACTACACTGGAAAACTCATGGATTATGAAGACCCACGAAAATATCAAGAGTAAATCAAAGAAAACAGGGGAGGGGGATACCCATAAGGTTAGACCCATGTTAATACACAAGGCAAAAAAGCTAAGAATCAGAAGCCCGAGAACCTTACAAACAGATGTGCTATGTGATTCAGAATGCAACTGCTTTGCCGCTTCCTACTTTATTTTACTCTGTAAGTGGTTAATAATATAAAGGATATACGAAATATATATGGCTCTAAAATCTCACACAACATTCAAAATTAAAATGCAATATCCTCCAAAAGTTACTATAAACAAAACTGTATCAGATACTAGAGAAAACGGTAGTCCTTTAGGGAAAATGTGCCTTTTAGTTCAAAGGATTTTTTTTTTTTAACGTTTATTTATTTTTGAGACAGAGAGAGACAGAGCATGAACGGGGGAGGGTCAGAGAGAGAGAGGGAGACACAGAATCTGAAACAGGCTCTAGGCTCTGAGCTGTCAGCACAGAGCCCGACGCGGGGCTCGAACTCACGGACTGCGAGATCATGACCCGAGCCGAAGTCGGACGCTTAACCGACTGAGCCACCCAGGTGCCCCAAAGTTCAAAGGATTTTAATTTAAAAAAAAAAAAAGGATCAGTTGTGCGGATCATGTGATTTTTAGCATCTGTCTTGTTGATGTGGTGGTATAGGACACTGATTGATTTACAAATATCGAACCATTCTTGCATCCCCAGAATAAAGCCTGCCTGACTGTGATGAACGATCCTTTCAATGTCTTGCTGAATGTGAATATTTTGTTGAGGATTTTTGCATCTGTGTTCTCAGTGATATTGGCCTATAGTTTTCTTTTCCTGTGGTATCTGTCTGGTTTTGGCATCAGGGTAATGCTGGCCTTGGAGCATGTATCTGGAAGCTCGCTTTCCTCCTCTATTTTTTCGAATAGTTAGAGGAGAATAGGTATTAACTTTACAAGGAACATACTTCAACACAACAAAAGGCCGTATGCAAAAAACGAACAGCTAACATCAGAATCAAAGGTGAAAAACTGAGAGCTTTTCCCTCTGTGTTCAGGAACAAGACAAGGATGTCCACTCTCACCACTTCTATTTAACACAGAACTGAAGTCCTAGCCACGGCAATCAGCACAAAAAAGAAATGAGGCATCCATATTGGCAAGAAGTTTCAACTGTCACTATTTGCGAACAACACAAACAACACTATACACAGAAAATCCTAAAGACTCCAACCAAAAACTACGAGAAGCAATTCATGAATTTAGTCAAGTGGCAGGATACAAAATTAATAGTCAGAAATCAACAGCATTTTTATACAGTAGTAACAAAGTAGCAGGAAGAGAAATTTAAAAAGTAACACCGCTTACAAGTGCACCAAAAAGGAATAAACTAACCGAGGAATAAACCAAAGAGGTAAAAGATCTGTACTCTAAAAACCGTAAATCACAAATGACAGAGGGGCGCCTGGGTGGCGCAGTCGGTTGAGCGTCCGACTTCAGCCAGGTCACGATCTCGCGGTCCGTGGGTTCGAGCCCCGCGTCGGGCTCTGGGCTGGTGGCTCGGAGCCTGGAGCCTGTTTCAGATTCTGTGTCTCCCTCTCTCTCTCTCTGCCCCTCCCCTGTTCATGCTCTGTCTCTCTCTGTCCCAAAAATAAATAAACGTTGGGGAAAAAAAAAAAAAATTAAAAAAAAAATCACAAATGACAGAAATGAAAGATGACAAAGACAAACAGAAAGCTATTCCATGGTCATAGGACTAAAAGAGTTAATGTTGTTAAAATGTCCATATTACCTAAAGCAATCTACAGACTCAGTATGACCCCTATCAACATACCAACAGCGTTTTTCACAAAACTAGAAGAAATAATACTAAAAATTTGTATGGCAGCACAGAAGACCCCAAATAACCAAAGCAATCCTAAGAAAAACAAAGCTGGAGGTATCACAATACCAGATAGACTTCAAGACAAAGTTCAGTAAACAAAACAGTATGGTACTAACACAAAACGAGACACACAGATCAAGGAAACAGAACAGAGCCTAGAAATAAACACACAAGTATATGCTCACTTAATCTACGACAAAGGAAGAATACACAATGGGGAAAAGACAATTTCTTCAACAAATGGTGCTGCGGAAACTGGACACTACATGCAAAAGAATGCAACTGGGCCACTTTCTAACATAATACACAAAAATAAACTCAAAATGGATTAAGGATCTAAATATGAGTCCTGAAACCATAAAAATCCTGTAAGAGAAAACAGTATTTCTCTCCCGTCAGCCACAGCAACATTTTTCTAGATATGTCTCCGTAGGCAAGGGACTACATCAAAATCAAAAGCTTTCGCAGGGGCCCCTGGGTGACTCAGTCGGTTAGGCATCTGACTCTCTCGATCTTGGCTCAGGTCATGATCCCAGGGTCCTGACATTGAGCTCCCCATCAGGCTCTGTGCTGTTAGCGCAGACCCTGCTTGGGCTTTTCTCTCTCTCAAAATAAATAAATTTACTTAAAAAACAAAAAAAAGTTTTTGCACAGCAAAACTTTTAAAATGTGTATTTATTAGTATTATTTAATATTATAATTATATATAATATATAATATATTAATATTTTGCACAGAAAACTTTTTTTAGTATTTATTTTTGAGAGAGAGACAGAGAGTACAAGTGGGGGAGGGGTAGAGAGAGGGAGACAGAGAATCCAAAGCAGGCTGCAGGCTCCAGGCTCTGAGCTGTCAGCACAGAGCCCAACGCGGCGCTTGAACTCATGACCCGCCAGATCATGACCTGAGCCAAAGTCGGACGCCTTAACTGACTGAGCCACCCAGGCACCCGTGTGTGAATTTTTAATATAAATGCGGGGACATAAAGCATTAATGCAAGTCAAAATGTCTCAGTGAACACGTTTCAGCAGTTTAACTTTATATAACGATAATAAATAAACCTGTTACGTTTTTCTGGACAATGCCAACCTTTGGATTTTCTTAAAACAAGTATATTGATGACAACTAAATAGTGTTTGTAGCATTCTTATCAGACAGTAGATGTGATCCATTCACTATGCTTTTCTGAGTTGTCCTACACGCAAGTACATGTTTTTAACGTTGTTGACCTTCTGTGCTGTCCACGTGAAGTCTGCTATTAGAATACGTTAAACCATTTTAAAAAATGAAAAATAGAAATACCAGTGATCCAATAATTCCACTACTGGGTATTTACCCGAAAAAAATGAACACATGAATTTGAAAAGATCTATGCAGCCCTATGTTTACCGCAGCACTGTTTACAATAGCCAAGATATAGAAGTACCCTAAGTGTGCATCCACAGGTGAATGAATAAGGAAAATAATGGAACATTATACAGCCATAAAAAAAAAAAATCAGAAGACCGTGCCATTTAAAACAACATGGATGGACCTAGAGGGCATTATTCTAAGTAAAATAAGTCAGATTGAGAAAGACAAATATGCTATGACTCCACTCATAAGTAGAATCTGAAAGAAAAAGCACACGCACCCACAAATGAACAGACACCTGAAAAGCAGAATCAGACCTATAAATACAAAGAACAAACCGAAGGCTGCCAGGGGGTGGGGGGAAGGGCAAAATGGGCAAAGGGAAGTGGGACAGGCTTCCGGTCACAGAACGAGCGAGTCACGGAGAAGAAAGGCACAGCCTATGGGATTCAGTCAGTGACACCGTCATAGTCCTATAAAGGGACCGGTGGTACTACAGCCGTGGTGAACACAGCTTAATGTACAAACTTGTCAAATCAGTAAATGGTACACCTGAAAACAATATAACATTGTGTGTCAACGATACTCAAAAAAAAAAAAAAGAAAGAAAGAAATCGGAAAATCCAGCAGTAGGACAGAAGGAAAATGGCAGGCCGAAAAGAAGAAAACGAACTCCAATTAACAAAATCCTGCAGGCCCACAGCACTGCAGGCCGCGGAAGCGGCAGCCCTTACCTTGCTGAATCACGGTCTCTCCGGCAATAAAGGAAACCGGAAACATGGCATCGAAAATATCACTGCAAGACACACAAGGCCTCAAGTCACATCTCATGTGCATCTTCTATGGATTCCAAACACCACCCTTTGACTTAAAGCTCCCAGATCTTCAGCCTGGACCGTCATCGGGTGAAAGATTATCAAAACTTGCCGCAGTGAGCAGACTAGTTTGGGACCACGGGTGTTCTGAAAAAACAGTATAACCAAGAACCCGAACCTACCTTCTCTCATTGTCATCAAGATGTGAAAAGAGCACATTCTTTTCAATGGCTTTGGCTAAAGCAGCCATTGTCTTATAATCTTTTGGTATAACCTGGAAAAGAACAGAAGATCCAATGACAATTCCATCAACCAAAACCAGATCATGTCTGAACGTGCATTTCAATTAAACGTCAAGATACGCTACGGTATTTAAACAAGACTGCTTTGAGTTGACTATTTAACACAACACGCTTGTACTATCTGTGATCTACAAAGTACTCAATAAATATTGACTGACTAATCCCCTTTCCTACAACCAAGCCTATACTGAAGGCTCATACTTGGTTTCCAGTCAACGACTAAAGTCACAAACCATAACACCTTGCAAGGTCATTATTCTGAGGCAAAACTAAGCAGTTTACGACAATTAGTCATTTTTTAAACCGTGACCACGCACTATGAGCTTCACAAGCCTCTTGTCAGGACAACTCTCTTCCCCTTCAGGCCAACAGCAGAACTCAAAATGGCAGGCTGGCTCCAAGGAAGAGCCAAAAGGAGGAAGGAAGCTTCCAGGATAAAAGGTTCAAAGTCACAACATGAGTTACGGGATGTCAAAAAGAAACCATGATTCAAGAGAAAAAACACTGCCCGCTTCTTCCACTACAAAGCAACCGGAAAAGAAAACCCCCCCAAATACAACCGTTCACTGTTTTACAATCATTATTAGTTATTTCCTCTAATGGCATGTTAGTACAGTAACTTGTTCCCCGGGACCCAAGAACCGTATAGGACGAAGTACAACCCATCCTGTGTTTTACTACTCAAAATGGTGCAGGCATCACCACAGGCGGCTAGCGGACGACCACATGGGTCCCGAAAACATTGCCCCATTGTGCGGACAGCAGAACTACCTTTCTAACGTACGATGCAGCATCTTCCTCCGTGTAGACTTCAGCACTGATGGCACCTCGTCGCCTCCGGCCCTTAACCACTGGGTTGGGTGGGGGAGGAGAGATCTCATCCTCCCTCGAATCTGCACGGGCGCTCGCCTTCTGCAGATTCTGAATCTGTTTTGCCTCCTCCTGAAAAAAATTACACGTTTACAAAATGAGATCCTTCAGCATGTCAATTTGGTCTTCTCGTATCCTCCCAAGTGTGACCCAATCTCAATCACTGCAGATCTCTTCCTCTATTACCAATGTGAAAGTGAAGGGGGAAAAGGCCATTCCAAATGCAAAAAAAATGGAGTCGAGTTTGAAAAGCAATACTCTGAAAGGGCTATACTGTTTCCTCAGATGATAATAGACACCATATTTAATAATAAACAAAAGCCATCAGTACAAGGACACATAACATGCAAATAAAAAATTAGATACTGGTTATGGTAATACATTGGCAACAATGCCTTATAATGCACACAACAGCAATAAACTGCGAAACAAAATCCTGGGGAATTAGGTTTCCGTATGCTGCTACAGATAGCATGAAGATTCCCCACCACACACACACCCCAAAAGAATTGTTACCTAGAAATAACCACTCAGGCACAGCAAAGTGATACAACAATGTCTAGGTTACTGGGTTATTTCTTTAATTCACCTAAGTATTCTCTGGATCTGCCATGTCAAGTCGATGCTAGGAAAAGACAATGCCAAAACCAACAGGAAAGGGTCCTAAGCCTATGAATTCATATTCTGGCTGAAGTCTCAGATATAAACAAACTATGAGGGGCGCCTGGGTGGCGCAGTCGGTTAAGCGTCCGACTTCAGCCAGGTCACGATCTCGCGGTCTGTGAGTTCGAGCCCCGCGTCGGGCTCTGAGCTGATGGCTCAGAGCCTGGAGCCTGTTTCAGATTCTGTGTCTCCCTCTCTCTCTGCCCCTCCCCCGTTCATGCTCTGTCTCTCTCTGTCCCAAAAATAAATTTAAAAAGTTGAAAAAAAAAAAAAT